ACAGTGCCCCAAGCTGAACTTCCCTTGAACATCTTCCATTATGAGTTGCCATTGCATCCTGTTTCCCTGTCTGCCTCTCCCATTGGGCTGAGAGCTCATGGATATGAACTGTGTTTAATTCTTCTCCTCATCTCCAGTCCTTATAAGAGAATATGAATGGAATATTAGATACTGAGGCAGCATGGCTGAATTAATGGAACATGTCATCACTGCCTTATGTCCCAGACAGTGCAAGGTCTCTGAAGGCAGGGTCATGTTAACCTACCACTGGGTGCTGAGGAAAGGTGGAAGCAGTGTGTGACATTAGAGATTTGGGGACAGGTGAGAAAAGTTGTAGAATGGAATTTCCATGCCTCTGCTGGGTGAGTGTGGGCCAGTCTCTGGCTACAAAATGTATGCAAAGAAAAAAAAAGCCTAAAAACAATTTAGAGTCTATTACTGTTCTGAAAAATTGTCAAGAACTTGAATAACTAGGTAGAAAAGGCATAAACAAGGTCTACATTAGTAAAATGAGATTTTAGAAAGTAAAGGCTAATATGAAAGGAAAGATGTGTTCAGATTGTGTTTGGAATAGTAAATATACTCTAAAGTCAAACCAAAACGGAAGACTGCCAAGAAAATAAGTAGAAAACCTGGGAGGGGAAAGTAAGGACAAATCAAGACATTTTGGCAGTAGGTAAATGTTCACCTCTCATTTTAGCATTCTATTATATTCTCATTTGGGTAAGATATAATGTCTTTACATCCCCAAAATTCCTTAAAGGAGATCTTTGTGAACTAACAGATTGTAGCTCCACCTTTTTACCTCAAACTCTGCTTCCTTTGTATTTCCTGTGCAAGAGGCATTTTTACAAAGTTGTGAGCCCCATCCACCCCAGGCTCATGTGAATTGAAGGAGTCCACGTCACCCACCTCGTTCCTGGGGATGTCCCTGCCCTACATTTCCTTTCTCTTAGCCTCATTTCTTTCATTTATTTTGATTCGGTACATGGCATATCTCTTTGTGAGCTGACAATTTATACCTGAGGCAGGGCATAAATTCTTATTTTTCCTTTTTTTTCTGGATTCATTTGGATGCCTTATATAAGGGATCTAGTTACAAACGCAAAGCATCTCAGATTGGACGGGAGGAAATTCTCCCCAAGAATCAGGAAAGCATGAAGCATCCCTATGGCCGAAGAAACCCTGCTGGAGGACAGGGAACATACATCCCCCACAGGACATAAGGCCTAGGGAACACATGCTGTTGCACCTGTGTGTTTATATATGCGTGTGTGCATGTGTGTGCCCGTGTACACATGCATGCGTCCATCCTTGTAGCCTTGCGATACCCACAGCCGGGACTCCCGCCCTTCCCAGAAACAACTACCCTCAGTTGATGGCTCAAAAGACATGTGCTGCTACTAAGAAAGAGGAAGAGAAGGTTTTTGGAGTAGTTTACGGTGATCTGGAGAATAATATTGCACACCGACACAAGAAAAACACGGAAGACAATTTATTCTGGCTGAGGTCAGTTACTAAAAGCCACATAAAGTAGGCTTCTACCACGTCAGATTTTCTGTTGATATGTGGTAGGGCATCCCTGAAATGAGAGGATAATATATAAAAGAGGGACACATTAAGTTATTAGACATTGAACTCCATCACCGTCCTTCCTCATTCAATTTGGAAAGCAATAAAAGAAAGAAACACAATAATGGTTGCAACTGGTGTGCCCCCCGGGTACACATCCTCACAACACCATGAGCATGGATGTATCTGCATCTTATTCTCCAGTTTAGGGCTAAGGAATCCGGATTTCACAGCAAAAGTCCATTCAGCTTGTACGTGGAGATTCTGGATCCAACTACAGGCTCTGGATGTTTTCAAAGAAAGCACTCTTTCCATTCAACTATGCATTTAATAAACAACACAGTAAAAATTTCCGTACAAAGAATTTTTTATTGACATTGTAAGAAACATTTTTTTTCTTTGTTACAAAAGGACTAAGTGGTTCTGAAAGCAAAGGTAGAGTTCATCTGTGGCTGTGCTGCAGCCCCTGGGCTTGAGGTGGGCGTGATCACGGGGAATGCAGGCTTGTCCGAGGAATGCCTGGGCCAGTCACATCTGAACGCTATGCCTACAATACTTAAATGTATTTACATGTGTTTCTTTTAAAAAAGGATTACACATTTTATTTTTTAAAAATCTAAAAAAGGTGAAAAAAATGAACTTGTATTTTATTTTACACGTCTGCAGGATACACAAGGGTAACTTGTCAGAAGAGAACATCCTCCTATCAGTTCAAAACAACACCGGAAAACAGGATACAAGACAGCCTCGACTCTGCTACCACCGTGCGCTCTCTGGCTGGCGCACACACAGCCTCAGAGTGCTGACTGGGCAACATCAACTGGTCCCTCTCATTGACAAGATTAACATAAAATAAGGCACATACATCGCAAGAATCAAAACTTTGTGGCTCAAAAGGAAGAGCCAGTGTGTGAGGAGTTGGGAGGGGTTAACTTTTTCAGAAAAACAAAACAAAAATGGTTAGAAAAAGTTTAACACAGACATTAAGCAGGAGTACTGTGTGTGAGCCTGCATGTTTTAGAAAAGGCAGGATGGTGACACTAGTGAGGCGGTCCTCTCGCTCTAAATGCGCAGGTTACAGAAATGGAGACAGGCTTGGAGGCTGGGGGTGAGTCTCAAGATATGAGATGCCTAGCCTACAGAGATCCCAAAAGGACGTCCCAAAAGGATACTTCTAAGAGACTTCAAAAGACCTTCCTTCCACTGGACTGCCTTGACAGATCACTGAAATTCTGGAGGAGTACACTTTCTTCTTCCCTCTCTCCTCTCCTCCATCCTTCTGAAATTTCCATATTGAGAGAAGTCAAACATTGAGCTGAAACTAGCATCTCCTGGAAATCTAAAAGCAGTAGAAATGAAAGCAAATATATATATGTGTGTGTGTGTGTGTGTGTGTGTGTATATATATATGAATGGGCGAAACCCAGAAAACAACCTGAAACCACAGGAAAGAGTAGAAGCACAAGACAACAACAGAGGTGGACCAGATCACTGTGCATCCCTCGGGAAGGACAAAGCTGATACAGGAAATGATGGTAACTGAGAAATGGAGGTTGCATCGAAGAATACTACTGGAAGAGACCTCTGATGGAGGAGGCCAGCATGGTGCCTTCCATCCAAGCTCCTTTCTCAGGAGGAATGGAGAACACTCAGGCCCCAAGCTTTGAAAACAAGAGTTGGAAAGGAATTGAGCCAAACCATTAGAGCACACAAGATAAAACCGGAGATTTGGAGATTTGTGGAAAAGTGAGACTGGATCTCTGATTTTGTGACAACATCATGCCCTGTTTCAGAAACACAGAGAAAACCTTGCTTTTTCAGCTGAAAAGTGGTAGAGCCTCCACTCTCCTACGCTCAGATCAGCAGTTCTCTTTTGTTAGGGGGCTGTTCCAAAGGAGACACATCCTTTAATTTCAAAGAAGACTCACATGGGGGAGGATAGCAGGCATGGAGGGGAAATTGCGGCATCCCTCTGCTCGTCTCAGGAACATCTAGTTGAAAGCAAACCCAATAGTCTTAGCCAAAGTCCCCAACAGCAAATCAGCCTCCATGCGGAGAGATTCTTGGTCCAAATGAAAGAACATAAATATGAGAAAAGTGGGCTCGTCCTAACACTCTTTCTATTATCTAACACTTTATTTTACTTGATTTTGTCTTTCTTCTGTAATTTAAATGGCAGGATTAAAGGGGAAAAGCCACATAATTGAATTATCAATCACTTGCAATAAATCCAATTCCAGGGGTCAATGGGACAGAATACAGCAGGTAGCCTGAGGTGTTAATATTTTAATAGTTTACATATTTTTAAAAGCAATATGCTGGAAAATCCATGTACTCTTTGTGCACACACAGTATGACTTTTATGTGTATCAAATGCACATGGGAAGCAGCTGCACTTCAAAAATCTTTAAATGTTTTAATCCAAAAGTACAGATCCAGTCCACATTAAGGACTAACTGCATATAACACTTAACTTCGTGAATGGATGCAGCATTCAATAGACAGGGTGTGAAAAAAGGCATCCACACAGCTACTAAACATCTTCCCTAGTGCTCTCAAATACTAAAAATGGCTGAAGCAATTTATTCCCACTATGTGGGCTTTCTCTTTTACAACTAAGTTTTATAAATCCCTCAAAATAAGGTATTTAAAATGGAAATCCTCCTTCACTATAGTGGAATTAATAAATGTTACTGATACAGCCGCTTGTTGGGTTGTTTAAATACCTATATACGTAGAGCTACATATAATCAATTCTCAGTTAAAATGGGAGAGATGGAACTAATCAACAAACACAGCAACCCACAAATATTCCCCCAACTAATTCTACCCAAATGCTTCAATCTACAATCTATCTAACTTCTTACCAGAACAGAGAAAAGTAGCAATGTAACTGTCACCAACTGCCAGTCCCTTCTCTTTAACTGCAGTGCCAAACAACACTAACTGTTCATGAAGGTAGTGGGAGGAGAGGCAAATGTGATAAGTGAGAACAAACCATACAGACATAGCCTCCCCCAAAACACACTTACAGACATGAAGAGCTGAAAACCAAAACTGTGAGTGCCTATTTCATGTACAAGAGCCCCGCATTCCCATTTCTGTGTAACTGTGGAAAGTATGCCCTGAACTGAATTGGGGATGGGGAAAACATCAATATTCTGTCATCTATGCTACAGTGCACCCACAAAAGATTCTTAAACTCGCTATCCATATTCTGATTCTTGTGCCCAATGTGGGAATTAAAATAAAAAACAGAAACCAAAACACAAAACAAAACACTGAGCACATGTAAAGGAGAATTTTAAAAGCTGGAAGTGTAACCCCTTGGTCACAAGCACACCAACTCCTATTTCCTTTGAGCAACAGCAAAACATGTCAAATCCTTTAATTTGACTGCTCTTCTAAAAGAAAGAATATGCACATCACACATTTACATAGGTTTACTAAAAAGGGGTGGGGCTTACAGTTTTGTTTTTTTGTTTTTGTTTTTTTTTTAAAAAAGAGGGTGGTTTGTGTGTAACAATACTGATTCAAAACTGAAATGGAAGACAGTTTCTCCCTAGAATACTTTAGGGTTTTTCAGAGTCCTTTTCCATAAAAGGAATATATTTGAAACACATCTCAGTTAGGTGAGATGAGATTGCTAAAATACATACAGAACTAAAAAAACAGCCAAAACAAAGTCAGCTTAATCTCTTCAACTCCTATTGATTTACGTTGGTTGCAGTCCCTTTTTCCTAAAGCCTATTGCATAACTGCAAGGAATTTGCTTTCTTCCGCTAGGGAGGTCAGCAAAGAACTCATGTCCCCTATAGCCATGTTGGTGGTGCTCATGGACAGCGCTGGGAATGGGAGGGACGCCCGAGGCGTGGTGAGGCGGGAGGAGCTATGGGAAAGGTTCTGAATGACGCTTGGGCTCAGGGCCCCTGACATCAGGCTGGAGTGGTCCCCATCGTCTATGATGGCATCGAAGTCAATCTGTACCCCTTCCAGGTCATGGCTGTCGAGGCTGTCCACTGTGCTTGTCACCTGATTAGCACCTGGGGAAAGTAACTCAGGGTTTTTGGCGCTGGTCCCCTGTAGCAGGCAGCTGGTGTCTGAAATGGAGAATGAACCAGCTTTCATGTCTTGCTGACTGAAGCCCACGGTTTGGTCATAGAACTGACCAGAGTAATTCTGCAGATTAGAGCACAGCGGATGCGACGGCCCTTTCATCTCCATCTTGATGCCATTCACCCTGCAGGTCTGACTTGTGTCACTGAGCTGTCCTGACTGCAGAGCAAGGCTGTCCCTTGGCATAGCCTGGCGCCTGCTGCCCCCAAAGCTGGCACACGGCTGGTAGCCCCTGACGACTGCCAAGCTTGACGGCTGGCTGCCCATGCCGTGAGCCCCTGGCAGGCAGCTCTCTGGCCCTTGATAGATGTTGATGTGTGAGGTAGCACTAACCTGCCCAAGCATCTGCTGACCGGGGCGTCCTGCCCCCGGGAGCTGCATGCTGTCGCCGAGGAGCTGGTGAGCCAGGTACCCCTGTCCCACCGGGTCCTGGGTCTGCATGCCATTCACCATGCTGCCAGCTGACTCATTTGGTGCTACTGGCAGGCCGAAATTCAGCTGGCCCCCGCTCCCTTGCATGGGGGTGCTCTTCAGCTTTGAGGCTTGAATCCCGGCACCACAGGCACCGTCGAGCGCACCAGGGGCCACTGGCTGCCTGTTGAGGCAGTTCCCATACTGCGGGGCCTTACAGGGCTGTTCATGGAAAGCGTTTCCACTGGTGCCACTTCCGGGGCTGTTGTGAAGCATCAAGTGCTCTGGGCCAGCGTAGGGGTTGCTGTTCTCCCCGAGGGTCTGATAGCCCCCAGCAGGCCCGCTCCTCAAGGGGTTCTGCGTGTGGACGACCATGCCGTTGCAGAACCCAAAGGCGCGAGTCTGCGGCACAGCGGGCCGCGGGCCACACTTGAGCTTGGAGGAGGACAGTTCCGCGCTTCCGGAGCTTACTTCGTTCCACTGGATGGGCAGGTCGGTTTTGCTGCCCTCGGGGCAGGGCTGCTCGAGGGCATGGAACTGCTGGCCAGCGTGGCTGTCTGGCAGCCCGGGAGCGTCAAAGTCACCGGGCCCGTGGGGCACTTTGCTCTCGTCCGGGAGGGTGCTCGGGAAGTGCTGCTCGTACCCTGCTTGGTTCTGGGAATTTAAATACTGCACCACGTCGTCCGGCAGGAAATCCTCATCGTTCAAGTTGGCATCGGCGTCCATGGTCAGGGACTCCAGGGTGACGTTCTCGGTGATGCTGGGAGGACAGGGGGACGAGTGGAAGTTTCGGGACTGACCGCCCTCGGGCCGCGTGTAATTCTGAAGCACGAGGCTGCGCTTCTCCGCGGACGAGGCCATCGCCGGGGGGTTGCAGCTGCTGAGGTTGCTGAAGCGCGGCACTCGCGGCAGGGCCAGGCCCTCGGAGCCCGTCCGCACGGGGTCGCTGGCCCTCCTCACGCCGTGGCCTGGCGCATCGTGCGGCTGCAGGTGGCGTCGCCCGTAGCCGTGGGCTCCCCCGTCGCTGCACCTCCTCGGGGCATGGACGGGAGGCAGCGCCACGCCAGGCTCGAGGGCGTCCCCGAGCAGCGCCAGGCGCGTCTTCAGGCTCATTCTCTCCATGTTGGGCAGGGGCGTGGGCGGCGGCCCTCCTGTGGCAGCCGCGTACTTGGCCTTGAGGCGGTACTGCTGGGCGGGCGTGAGGCTGAGCAGGCTGGGCAGGCCGTCGCTCTGGCTGGCCTCACTGGAGCGGCGCGAGGCGTCGGTGGAGATGGGGTCGTAGGAGTCAGCCACGCTCACGTTCTGCGGCCGGCCCTCAGCCTGCGACGCCTCGCTGGAGCGGCGGCTGGAGAAGCAGGGCGAGATCCCTGAGGAGCGGCGGCTGCTCAGGTAGGCGGAGCTGATGGTGCTGGCGCTGCTGTCCCTCCTGTTGAGCATGTTCAGCATGGTGACGTCCACCCCAGAGAGGTCGCTTCTGCCTGGGAGAAGCGTCATGGGCCCACCCAAGCTGCAGGTGTTGTTGGACTGTGTGCCTGGAGACAGAGAAAGGGAGAGACCATGCGGAAAAATTCCCTTCGAGGATGACTTATATCAGGCATGAGTAACCCTTTTCTGTAAAGGGTCAGCTAGGAACTATTTTTGGTGTCCCAAGCCACATTGCCTGCCTCACAACTACTCAGCTCTGCAGTGTAGCCCCAACACAGCCACAGACAGCAGTGAGCAAGCAGGCGTGGCGGGGTGCCCATGAAGCTTTCTTTACCAAAACAGGGGCGGCTGGAGATGGCTGCAGGCTATAGTTTGCTGATGTCTGGCTTAAACAAAACAATAACAACTCCCTCAATTCAGTGAAGCCCCTCCCCAAGCACAGTGCAAGGACAAAAGGAATCTTCTGATGGGTACACAACGCTTGAGTTGCAGGCAAGTCCCCAGGCAAAGGTATTCCACGAGTTTCACATTCGCGCTCAGGGTGTCCTGTTCATGCCACATCCTATCAACAGGTAACACCCGTGTTGGTGCAGGGCAGAGCTTCACCCCTTAGGTGCTCTCAGAAGTGTAACCTCAGAAGTACAAACTGACCTGGGGACTGACAATGGGGAGGGATTTTTGACTTTCCTTGAACTGGGTAAATATAAATAAAAGTGGCTGCTAACCTCCTGGTTTTAAATTTTGGAAACCAGAGACAGAGTTCCAACCACAGATGCCTCTACTGCTGGCATTCCCTTACCCTAATCTAACAGTTATGATTTCACCATCAGAATATGAGTCATGCAGAGTCACATTTTTTTCTCAGTATTATACTGTTCCTAGCTGTTTTTAAAATACGGACCATCCAAAAAGGCAACTTGAATGGGCTCAACATTAACGGATAGTTACAGCATCATTTTAGGACTAATGGAGAAACTAGCAAACATAAAACTGAGGGTCTGCATTTAAAAGAACAACAACAACAAAAAACCCTGAGCAGATGAACGGTCTGATGTAGAACTCACCATTTCCTATGAGAGGAGAGACCGCAGGGGCTTTAGGGGGTAGAATGGGGTTCAGTCGTGGAAACATTCCATTCACTTGTTTTAGCCTTTCTAGTTTTACGTGCTCCATCCATTTGGTCCCTGCCGGGTTTCTCCTGGCTTGCAAAGCAAGGGCTGTGGTTGCAGTGGAAATGGTCGAGTCCATGATTGGGGTTTCATCAATGGCACTGAGGTCTCCTATACTACCTCCATCGGTCAGAGGAAGCTCGAGCCCACTGTTGGAATAGTTGCTGATGGGGGACTGTTGGCTGCTGCATGAAGACTGACCACCAGGGCTTGGCTGAGATGTCTGTTGGGATCAAGTGGAAAGGAAAGAAATGTCACCAGGGAGGGTCAAGGAAAGCGAGCCAATAATGAGAGCTCATGCATATCAAGATCTTCAAGATTATCGGTTGGTTGAATGAGAAGAAAAACTACGCTCTGGTGAATGGAGCTAGCCACTTTTGGCCAAAATGACGGATGGATCGCCAGGCTGATGGGCACTGGGAGGCAATGGACAGCAGAGAATGCTAGCTGTGGTGTGATTGGCATGGTATCAGCCATGGAATCCTGCCCCAATCACCAACTCTGCAAACACACTTCCTTGGTTCCAATCCCATCTCCACCACTTTATTCTTTGGGCATATTACTTAGTCACTCCAAACCTCAGTTTCCTTATCTATAAAACGGGGACCGTTTATTTCAGAGATTGTTGTCAGGAATTAAGTGTGAAGCCCAGAGAGCATACAAGTATAAAAAGACCTGGATAATAGCAATTGGCTCACAGGGTGTTAGCAATTACTACGATCCCAGGTGGTTTTAGTCTTTAGGTTCATTTTGCTCAGCTGGAACATAAATGTAAGATATGCACCATCAGCACACATTACCTCCTCCAACAAGAGCCCCTCTAGGCTGTTCAGGGCTGGTTAGCCAAGCTCTTTGTAATCTCTCCTCCCTCCTTCCACATTTTCTTGCTTTTGTAGAACCTCAACCAAGGTGTCAGTAAAAGCAGTTGAGAGAGGTAAAACTTCAATCATACAATAAGCTCGTGCTATATTCAGAAAGAAAGAAAGGCTGCAGATCACAGCCATCATGAGTCTGTAGAATGATTTCACCGTTCCCCTTAGTGTACTCCCTAACAGTTCACTAGGAGGATCAGGAAATGATTCCTTAACCCCAACCAAGTAGACTCTGTAAGACAATGCTGCAAATAATGGAATCTTAATCTAGTCCACCTGGTCCTCAATCAGGGAAAGTATTGCCTCCTCTAGTTCCCAGGGTTCCTGGAAATACAGGGTGGAAAGCCTGGTGCCCCAATGTCTGGGGATTACTATATAAAATGGCCTACAATGCACAGGACAGTCACACAACACGGAACTGTTCTATCTGAAGTTCCAGCGGTGTCCTGGTTGATAAACAGTCGAATCCTTTTTGTACAGATAAGAAAAGTGATGTTCAGAGAAGTTTAGTGATTGCCCAAAGTCACAAAGTGAATGGTGCAACTAGCCTGGACTCTTAGGCCGGCTACTTCCATGCGTCTGCAGCACCTTCATCAGTGTTACTATAAACACTGACAGCAGCCGAAAGGGAGAGTGCTTTACGGAGAGATAACTACACTCACTCAGTTACAGAGTACCGTAGTCTCAGGTGGAATGCACAGTGCCGCCAGGAAGGGCTCTTCCCTTTGGAACCCGTTCACTTCTTCTGCTATCATGGTACATACACCCAAGCAAATGAACACTTTCCAAGTAAGTGCCGCATGGTACACTAACTTTGTCCTGGGCAACCAAGCAGAGCCAAATAAGATATACAAATTTGATCATGAGTATGTGAAGCCTTGCTTAATTTTTGGCCTCAGCAGAGTGCTGGAGTGCCAGACCACCTGCTGCTTCCTGAGGTACTTGTTTCCAGAGCTTTGGATGTCTTTTACTTCTGTACTGTGAAATCAGAGTGTCTGCAAACATGAACCTGTGCATTTGTGTGAACACACAGGCAGACACACTTCATATAAGGCACAAATGCACTCACAACTAGGAAATTGCTTCAATGAGCTTCCACATTTAAATAGAGATTATATTGCTAACAACAAATGAAGCCAGATCTTCCTCAAAGAAGGTGGTGCACGTCTGGTCTAAGGATGAATTTGCATTAGTACAGTAATGAGTCTTTCAGAACATCTGCTTGGTAGGCCCCAGTGTGATTTGTTATGGAAACCTAGACAGATAGAACAATGAATTCCACCAACTAACTCCACATTTTTCACATGCTGAACGTTCAAAACACATTGCTTCTGTATTTGAAACATATCTGAGGAATGTTCACTACCAAAGATATCACAAAACCACAAAAACTAAAGAAAAATTAACACAAACAAGTAAATGTTAAAAAATGAAAACAAAACAAAAAGGACAGAGAAGCCAAAATTCCCTCACCTTATTACCCACTGTCCTTAGGAAGTGAGAACAAGACATTTAGGAGCATTAGATAGAAGAGATGTTGCATTAATAAGAAAAAAGAAGAAATAATTTAATTTATAGCATGATGATCAAATCAAAGACATGTTTTTAAAGAAAACTAGAAATGTAAATTTCATGTTTATTAAGTACATGTCTATGAAGATACCTACTTTTAAATGTGTGTGAGCATATACACACATAACATCTGCTATGAAAATGTGATTATTAACCTCACTGAGCCTCAGCTTCCTCAAAATATGGGCATAGTCTTGATCTCTATGGTTTCTTTTAGTGCTATGGTTCTAGGTTGGTGCCAAAGTAATTGTGGGTCTTGTCATTACTTTTAATGGCAAAAGACCCACAATTACTTTGGCACCAACCTCATATGATTGAATTACTTTATAAAATATTTCACACACTGGGGCATCTCAATGTTGCTGAGCCAAATCGCTATAACTTTTATTTCTACCGATTTTCTTTTTTCAACAATGGGTATCTGAAGAGAAAATGATAATTTTCTTGAGCTAGGAATGCACACTAAAAGTAGAAGAGATTCTGGGTTCTTGGAATATCCCAAGAACATAAATCATCAGTTTCATGACATAATCTAAGACTGCAAATTAACTTTCCTTGTTTTGTGAAACACTTGAGGGTAAACTGTCGAATGTTCTGTACAATTATTATACAGGTAGGCTTTATTTTAAGAATAGACAAGTGCTCCCCTCCAAAAAAAGTATATAAAACACAGTTTATGAACTGATTAAAATACAGTGATCAATCATAATGTATAAACATCTTATTAAGATACTTTTTTAAAGCAAAGTACACCTACCCATTGAGAAATCATGATAAACCTGGATAGCCGATTTGTGTTATTTTTGGCCAGACTTAATGTCATTCTCTAAGACTCTTAAGAGTTCAAAGACAAACTCAGTAAGTCATTAAAACATAGCCTCTCACCCTCCAAATGGTGAGACTGTACATTATTTCCTGCCCACGCGTACTGCTATACAGTGACATCACTCATGAATTCATAGGCTGCCCATCCGGTAGACTGCTCTAATTTTAAGAGAATGCTGACTTTAAGTATAAATCTGTTGGCCTGATCGTTTCCATGCATCTGGGAGTCTCAGCATGAAACTTCTCTCTGGTACACTTCCTTCACAGATTAGAGTGACAGCCCAGAACCCAATATATTTGCACAATTAAATCCATTCTATGCATGGCCAAATGGGCTGAATCTCCTCTACTATCTACTCTTTTAATTTTTCTTGTTGTCTTTGAAATTTTTAGGTGTTTTATAAAGTCACATTCATGAGCGAAGTCACGAACTGAGGTTTGAAAGAAGCTGAAAGAGTAGCAGAGCCCACATGTCATATTAGTCTCCAAACAGAAAGAGTTGCCTACTGAATCTTTCAGATCCTTCTCTTGTGCTCTGCCTCGCTGGTTCAGCGGCAAAAGTGGTCTCCAGTTTACCCAGTCTCTAGACTGGTACTGGAGTGATTTCCTCAAAAAACAAAAACAAAAAAACAAACAAAAAATCTCACCCCTGCTATGCCACTCCCCTCCCATCGCGCTGTGCTCCTCCTCTGCCGGCTTCTCCTCAGCTCTTCCCTCTGCAGTGCTGAACTCCCATCCCATGGCCTCCTCTGCCCCGACTGACTGGCAGCCTCTCCCTCTCTTGCATCCTCCTTACACAGACTTGTGTGTAAGCCCCCATCACACTGCATGGTATTTGTTTTTCAGCCTGTCTATCCCACTGGGCTGTAAACCCCTGAAGAATATGGGCCATGGCTTATTTACCTTGGGGTCACCAGGGCAAAGAAGACAGAAAGCATATTTACAGGAAGAGTCAATGAATGATTTTCGACATCACAGACACGCTGGAGAGACAGACAGTCGTGTCTTTCTTCCTTCCATGGCACAGTGGTATGGTTCTGGGAGTAATTTTAAAAATCAGTTAGGAAACCTAGAAACTCTTTTTCTGAACTGATCAACTTCAAGTAAGCAATCCAGGTCACTGCCCTCATCGCCTCCTCAGATCAGAGACAGCCTGACACAGTGAGGACCGGGAAGTCCTGTCCCTCTGTGCGCCCTACCTGGCTCTTTTAAATGACCCTGGGCCTGCTGTGAAGTCAGAAGGCGAGTGAATGACATACCATGGGCTTCTCTGCCTTGACGGTTTTCACCTGGAGGCATTCTTCCCGCTTTGAGGTAGTGTTGCTGAGGTCCTGCTGCTCACCGAGGGCTCCCTGAGTGGGCCGGCCGGGCGACCTGGACTGTGAATGGCTGCCGGAATCTCTCGGGGGTGGGGGCCGAGGATGGATGTCCCCACGTTGCTTTTTGGTGACATGAGCCTCTGGGCCATGCACTGTCTTCACGTGTTTCCGGAGGGAGCTTGGGTCTGTGTAACGCTTAGTGCAGCCTGGGATTTTACACACATATGGTTTCTGCCAAATGCCACAAGAATGAGGTAAGAGATTGTTATGAAGGAGATTATGCCCCAGCCCAGAAGTCCTTTATGGTTGCTCATTACATTTTTAATCCTTTCAAAACACTTTCACAAGGCTTCGAGGTGTTCAGATACCTCTAGGAACTAATAGTCTAATAAGGCCATTAGAACACTGTTCCGTGTCCATAGAATCTAGCTTTAATAGATTATGGCTTGAGAGAGAGGCTCAGGGAGAACTAAGAATGTGTAAATTGCCTTGATGTTCTTGGAAGCATTTATACTGGGAGTGAGAAGTATCACGGTGCCATAATAGGCACTCAATAGATATTTGATGATGACGATGACAATGAAGATGGCTTAAAAGATACCCATCATCTAATCAGGAGAAGACTGCACACTTTTCAGAAGACATTGTGTGACAAAATTTTTTATGGATGCCCTGGTTCTGAGATCGAATATCACTCTGATCTTTTTGAAAATGTGCTATTTATGCATAGGCATAATTTTGAAACTGCCGATGGCATCTCCCATGTTAGATGACGCTAAAATGTGCTCTTTTGGGTAGCATTAAAGTGTGGGGATGTTCAGGGCTCAAAATAGCCAGACCCTTTCTGCTCTTCGAAATTGGAAAGCCCTGTTACAGACTGTCCGTGAATCCTCATCATAAACTACAGAGGGCTGACGGATGTTCTGGGGACCAGGATTTCTGGTCTGTTTTCTTCTCTTGGGTGAATTTATAACTAAGGTCTATAAATTATTTCATGCTAATCTCATTTTCTATGTGGGTCAGTGATCAAGCCTAAGGATACAGTAATAAAAAATTATGCGGATGCTTATATAAGCGGATTATTTTCTCAAATCACAGAACTGCTGGCCTTTGGCTCATGACCAACATCGGATTTGTGAGTTTGCTCACTTGACTTAAAATATAATATACGCAAGGATGCTTTCATGAATATATATTTATATCTATGTATAGCAGAGGATGAGCTTTTACGTAAGCAATCGTCATGAAAAGCAGGATTACTATAATGTACCTATTATATTTAAAATGATGCTGTGTCTTGTAGAATGTATGTCTAAAAGATGCTTTTTCACTAAAAGCCCAAGAACAGACTGAGTGCTACCTAAAATGCTGAAATGTCCTAATGCAGTGAAGCAAAGATCCTGAAACTGAGAGGTTTCACCTCCAAACCTGAGATTCCTTTGGGCAGAATTGATTCCCATTAACTATGAATTACATCTATTCAGGAGCTTGTGCGATTTGCAGCATATATATATAATAAGATGAGCACATCAAATTCTATGCATTAGGGACAAAAGACTGGCTCTGACAATTAGTGCCATTACCTTACAGTGTTCTGACACGGGCCCTATGCTTGCTCACAGCATTCCTGTGACAGGTTGTTCCATTAGCAGGCAGACTGGGATATGTGGGGCAGAGGTGTGGAGACCAGAAGGAGAGAGGGAACACAAAGCCTGCATGTTTGGAGAGCTACTCTTCCTATAAATATATGGATGTACATTATGGGTTAGCTTAGAACCAAGGACGCAGCCAATGTGTAATGAGATACAAATGTGTCAGCTCCTGCACTTCCAGAAACAACAGCCCATACAGGTGCATCTGTGCACATGTGCCCTTGTGTGTGAACATACACATTATCTACCCACAAAAGTTCACAAATTCACAAGAAAACAGGTTCAGGAAATGTATCCCTCACAACAACATAACATAAACAAAATATCCCTTCACACAGCTTTTGCCCACAAATTTTGTTGTGATCAGTGACTAAAATAAAATATAATTAAAGGCTAAGATAAATGTTCTCAGACTTACTGAGGTGCAAGATTCTGCAAGCACAAAGTTGCATACAACAAGATTTAATGATAAGGAATACAAAATCTGATAGGAAAAATAAGAAGATGCAATGATCTATATAATATAAAGTGTGAATACTATGTAAGGGTATAGACAGAGGAGGGATCATTTTTTAGCTGGGATAATCATGGAAGGCGTTAGTTACTAAGATTCTATATCTGGGCTTAATGCCCAGCTCATGGGGTTATTGGTAAGTGTTAAATTAGATCATGTACATGAAGTGCTTACCAGGATGCATGGAACGTAGTAAGCACTCAATACACAGAGCTTTTATTAGGAGTCATTTTACTTGGAATGCCAAAAAGAAGTGTCCTCAGCAAAGGTCCAGTGGCAGAACCACTTCATGCACCTAAGCATGGCAGTCCACAGCACCAGCTTCTGGAATGTTTCATTCATGATCATGATAGTGAGAAGTGAGGACTAGAGGGGCGAGCTTGGGCCCTGTGAGAACAGACACTTACACAAGCTTAGGGAGTCTCAAGTTTCCTTACAGGAAAGCAGGAGCCATTGCAGCTTTCTAGAAAGGGAGGTTCAACCGAATCAGAGCTCAGGAAACTTGTTTAGTAGTATCTTTGAGGGAAATATGAGCTGTGTGATCTGGAGTAAGAAGTCCTGTCAGAGCTATGGTCGGTCTAGCAGCCCTAAACGAGCAGGACAGCCAGAGGGACAGAGAAGTGCCAGAAATTACTCCCTTCCTGTTCCAGTCCATTATTTTCTTGGCCACACTTAGAACAGCAAAGGGCTTGACACATAATTAGCTATCAGTATTTGTTTAGTGAATAAATGAAGTTGCAAATAAGAGAGGAAATAAATGAAAGCAAATCACTTGATTTTTCTAGGCTTGTGAGATTGCACAAATCTGGATTTCCTGGACAAACTTAACTTAGATGCATCTGAAAATCTCCATCATTCATACACAGGGCCAAAGTCTTGCATATAGAATAGAGAAATATAATTTGTTTGTAAATATATATGTGGGTAGAATTTTAATTATGTATTTATGATCAAGGTTAATAATTTAAGTAAATTGCTCAAGCGTGGTCAATGACATTACTGCCCAATATATCTTTTATTTTTTAATCTCGTAACAAACACTTAACTCTCACACAACATTGCACTTTTTACCTTGGAGAAGAACACAAGCTCAAGTACACTACAATTAGGCAAATGGACAGGTACAAATATTTTAGGTCCATAAAAAGACAAAAAGGTTTGGTAATTATCTTTATATGTGTGCATTCCGATCCTAACATACCCACCATACAAATTTCTCCATGATAATAGGAAAGAACATTGGCCTAACATCTATAGGAACGAATGCCCACTAAATGTCTAGTCAAAATTACACTCAACTCTATGAAATATATGAAATACATTCTAAGTTAAGTCAAAATCCCTTAAAATTTTAAATTGAAATATAATTCACATGCCATAAAAATAATCCCTTTAAATTGCACAATTCAGTGGCATTTAGTACATTCTAGACATTGTGTAATCATCACCATTACCTAATTCCAGAATATCTTCACCACCCCAACAAAAAAACCCCAACAAAAAAACCCATTGGCAGTCATTGCTATTCCCTCTCCCCTCTCCTTTTGGCAACCACTAATCCACTTTCTATCTCTATGTTTCTGTCTATTCTAGACTCCCTAAAATTTTGTACAAACTAGTATAATAGATTATATTCCAGCTACTGCATACTGTAAAAGCATTTTTACATTAAAAAATGGAGATGTGGCATCTTTAAAATGTCTTCAAACAGTTAGAAAATAATGAGATTCCAAATAACTCCAGTTTCCATGATCTTTTCACACAAAAACTTGGTATATATGAACTTACATGTGACAGTTTGTGAGTGAGTGTGCTTTTTACGGTGTGGTTAATCCCTTTAGGGACACTTTTGCTCTGTCAGTTTCAGCTGAAGAAAACATGGTGAGAACCATCTTGACCACCTGAAAGCCAAATGGCCACTGAGCAGAATGGCTCACTTTGTTTCTATCAAGATTGTTTCGGCCCAGCTCTCCATCTGAAAGATCATGAATGAGTTTGACCTGTGCTGGTGAGATCAAATGACAGCCACTCCAAGGTCTCATGTGTGCACAATGTTCCTTCCCTAACACATTCCAAGCAAACTGATGAAACACTGTGGTGCTGAACTATGTCTCATGTTAACAAATTCTAGTTAACTATCCTATTTCCACTCAAAATGCAAGGAGTCCTTTTGTTAATCCTGCGATACATTCAAGAGAAGGTTTCACAGACAAGCCAGAATTTGAGCTAGACCTCCAAGGCCAAGTTGGAGGTCTGTAGGGAGACGCACACTAAAACATAAGCAATGAATTTGGAGTAATTTTCATTCTTATGCCTCTCTACAATTTAGCAGAGATAACTACCTAAAATAACAGTGACACAACAGGAACCACCCGGAAGCTTTACTCAATATGTTTTCTTAAATAACTGCCTAGAAAGTATTCTGGGTTTCTGAGACCATTTTCCAAGATCCTTTGGAATTTAGAGTGTCTGAAAATTGCATTTAGCCAAGGCTGGTTGCTCCGTAAAGATCTTTTTTGATATAACACCATTTGAAGATATCACTTGGAGGAAGCAAATAAAAGTGGATGACTTAGCAGGAAGCTGTCAGCTGTCAACATGCTACTTCTTAATATATCCTTGGGGCTTACGGGGTCATCCTTTGCATGGATTCCTGCTATTTTGGGCAGAGTGACTGGCTCAGAGTCCAAGTTAAATGCTCCCACTGTTTGACCAGTAGGTGGCAGTTCAAAACAACATGAAACTAGTAAGTTCGCAGGGGTTTTAAGAAGTTTCCTCTTCATCTCCTATTATTCTCCAAATAAGATCCAGTTTCCAGTCCCACCTAGGAAGCCCAAGCCTTCACCTGCAGGGGCGGAGCCCACTCATGCTGGGAATGGCCAAGGGGAAAACAAAACAGAACACACTGCGCCTTCCATGTGCCTTCCCCGGGATGGTTCCTTTGTTTCCTTATGCAAACTCCGTGCCCACTGAGGATGCTTACCTCATTGGAATGCGTTCTGTTTTGGTGCTTGGCGCGATCAGAGGCATTTGAGAAAGCCTTGTTGCAACCTTCGTGCTCACAGACGTATGGTTTCTCTCCAGTGTGAGATCTCAAGTGTGTTTTCAAGTTTTCTAGTCTCGAGTAGGCCTTTGTGCAACCTTCAAACTAAGGACAACAGGTAAATCTGGATTACTCTGCACAATGGCAACAGCAGCTTATGCCTAACACGCCCTCCAAGTTGATGAAAAACTGACGTTTCAAGGGTCAGCAGCTTTTCAAAACCCAGGAACAAAAAGTCCACTAAACTCTGCATTTATTGGGATTCAGATGTAGCTTGGTGCAGTTCAAGATAAAGAGTTTTCAGTGCCAGTAAAAGTCCTGAAGTTTTTTTTTTTAATAGACCCCTCAATGTGGACAATGGGTTTCATTATCTGCTCATTGATCTCCTCAAATTCCCACTGATTTCAGATTCAGCACAAAGTTCATTAATATAGCTTTGTGTCCATACAAAGACATGGAATTTGATCATGTTTGTAAAGGGCCTTTAAGATGTAAAGTACCAGGGCTCAGCGTGCCCAGTGTGCCTTGTGGGCACCTCAGTGAAGAATGCACAGCCTTGCAGCAGCCCCGTCCCACTCCATACGCCTATGCCTGAGGACTCACTAGGAAAGGAAGGGAAAACTTTAAAACCTGGTATAGGGATTAGCTGTTTTAAAAGTCAACTTCAACTCTGTAAGTTGGAAGCTGGCACTTTGCCTTCTGAGCCCCATAGTACCATAAGCTGTTGGGCTGTGGCCAGCAGGGTGGCCCTGTGTTCATTCCCAGTGCCAGCCACCACTGCCCCCTTGCCACTCTGCAGAGCTGCGCTGTCCAACTCAGTCACTGAAACAACCAAGCATTTATCACCAGACAATACTCTAGTCCTCTTCTCTTGCCACCCAACCACGCTTCCCCTGAGCTAGCGTCATCAGTTTGCACAGCTCTTATGAATATAGGGAAGGACCCACATGTGCCTGCCGCCCACTTTTGTACTCACAGTGCATTTGTGAGGCTTCTCGCCCGTGTGTCTTCTCATATGCACTACCAACATATACTGGGCTTTGAAGGGTTTCTGCTCTCTTGAGCAGTCCAGCCACCGGCACACAAACTCCTTCTTCTCTCCATGAATATGGTCATTATTTATATGCTGGGGTTTGGAAAAAGAGAGACAAATCAAATGGAAATGTATTCATCATTTCTGAAGGCAACAGAAGAAAATGCAGAAAATGCCCCAATCTTAAAAATCCTAAAGACCACAAGAATTGTGGTTAAGAATTACCATATTTCATCATTTCTGAAGGCAACAGAAGAAAATGCAGAAAATGCCCCAACCTTAAAAATCCTAAAGACCACAAGAATTGTGGTTAAGAATTACCATATTACAGGTTATAAAAATTCTAGTTAGTACACTTCTCAAGTAAATTTGCTTTTGCTAACTGTGTATGCATGCTTCCTAACCAGCGGGAGTGGCAAGACCGGGATAGAGCCTGACATCCCAGGAAATATACCACAGTACATTGGCCATCTGAAGAGTAGGGTTCTATTCCAGGTTTGGGACCAGCTAGTTTTGAAATGAGGTGAGCCCCTGTTGACTTTTCTGAACCTCTGTCATTTTTCCTTGCCAAGGCTGGCGATCGAGGCTAAACAACTGCAGAGGTGTTCTCCAGCTCTCACGCGCTAGGCCATGGGTTAGCACCGTGGCTCAGGCTTCAAAAAGGGAGAGCACACAGAAACGCACAATTTCGGAACAAAAATACCAAAAGCACTTGCAAACGAAACTTTAGCTCAGGGTTAGTCAGACTGCTTCCTGAGTAAGAACTGCGGAGAAAAGAATTATACTGAGGAAGAGGACTGTGTGGTCATCAACAAATGAGTTACTCTTTCAGGGCCTTGGTTTTCCTCTTGTAGAAAATAAATGACTGGATTCCCTAGTTGCTAAGGGCCTTTCTACTTCTAAAATTCTATTAATACGGTTTTTAATATAAAGATGAAGTTCCTTGAATTACTTACCAATTCAAGGTTTTAGAATCATTTAATTTCTTGGATTAATTCTAATTGGGAACCATTAGAAACCTATTGCAGCATGAAAGGAAGAGAAGCTTCTTAATTTGAATCAAATTAAGGTCAATTTCAACAGCCTGAGCATACTATTTCAATGTCCACCTATAGACTACTGAAGACATTTGTATTCTAGGTTGATGCTGTTGGTCTTTATTTTCTGGTGATTCTGCATTTTATTTGCCTTAATTTAAGGCTTGTGGGAACACTTTCTCAAGTATACATAGAAATACATCACCAAAAAACTTCGTTCAATAAGAGAAAGCTCCCTTTGGCTCCATGCCTCGCGTGGTAGTGACACAACCTCTCATTACTTTCCTGCTGAGTCCAGGGCTCCTAAAGCGGTGGTTGCTGTGGGTCTGAAGGTGAAGTTCTGCCCTCAGAGTGGGCCTTTCCCAGTTACTCCACTAGATGGCCTACTGCTTTAGGGAAAAAAAAAGTTTTACAAAAAATAAAGTTTCCTGTGCTGTTTCTGGAGTTTAAAACTGGGTGAGGACACAGAAAAGAAATTGTTGTTCTCTATCTCCTCTCCTTGGAGCAGCTCTCAGAAAAATCTGATGAACAGCAGAGAGTCAGTGGTACAATGCAGCACACGAGGAGACAGCCAGCGTCCCATCAGAAGCTCCAAAACGACACAGAAACGGCAGTGGTGGGGGAGCAACCCCACGGCAAACAGATGTGGGTTTCCTATGAAAAGCCAACCAGGCTCCATGTCAGTGTTTCTTAAAAGTTATGATGATGCACACAGGTATAGGAAGAGAACAGATGTTCTGGACAGGGGACAATGTTCAATCCGCACATGTCTGCTTCTAGTACATCTTTGTAGCCCATACACAAGACCAGGGCTTTCCCAAATGTGTGCTGAAGCCCAGCGTTGGAAACCAAGCTCACATCTTACAGAGGAGTTCTATGGATTCTCAAACGGGAGAAAAATAAGTGATCACACAAAATCACTCCATAACAGTTGCTCTTGGTTCAGTTTTCCAAGTCATTGGAAATAAAGCTTGGATCCTTGGATTAATGCACATGAAAGGGAAGCAAAAAAGGAAGGGAGGGAGGGAGGAAGGAAGCAAGGAAGGCAAGCAGAGAGTGAGGGAGAGAGAAGGAATGGGAAGAATAAGGAAGGAACACAGGAGGGAGAAAGGAAAAGTTAAAATTGGGAAACTGAATTACAATTTGTGCTGAGCCAACTGCTTAAGGCTGGATCCATGTCTTATTAGTTCCCTGTTCTCTCTCGTGATTTTATGAGGATGTGCTGGGTGCCACTCACACCAGGCACTGTGCTGGGGAACATGACAGAAACGATTCTTGCCCCCAAGGAATTAAGTCTATCAGAGGGAAACCAGTCATGGCTTGAATTACTATATAATTATGGTTGTGATGGGCATTATGTAGGGAAATAACAGGGTTTTATAAAAACATGTAATGGGATCCTAAGTCAGTGTGCAGCATCAGGAATCAGGGTCCGCTTCTCCAATGAAGCAGCATTTAGAGCAGGACCTGAAGGATGAGTAGACATACCAGGTGTGCAGGGAAGGATGGGGTGGGAGAATGGGACACTACAGCAGACCGATGACACAGACGTACCTGCAGAAGAACAGAGCCTAGCGCCTTTGAGGAACAGGGTGAGGGCCACGCATGGCAACAGAGAACTGGCCAAGGAGAGATTGCCACTGCTTGGCATGGTGAGAAGCATGAGTTTTCTGTGGGTCAAGTGGACATCCGTGAGGTAGGTAAGCTTGGGCTAGCTTGCCAGGGCTCACCTAAAATGCTGTGTGCTCAGTAATGTCTCCAGTAGTGAGGATGTGGGAAAAACTCACATACACCCCAGGGAAAAGCCAGGTTTGCATGTCTGCCCCTGAGGAGGAGGGCATCAGGGAAACCTGGTGCTACTCAAGGAAGCAGGGGTGGCTAAGAGGGAGGTGCCAACAGTGGCCAGCAAAGAGACTCTCATCTCTTCCTTTCCTGTCTCATCCAACACACTGGAGGAGCTGGACCCTAGAAAGAAAGGGAAGGCGTCTCCTGGAGGCACTCCCAGGCCCTGGCTCCTTTAGATGAGGTGGCAAAGGGAGGGCAAACAGCCTGCCAGTTCCCTTGAGGCCTGTGCCTTGCTGCTGACAGGGAAGGGAAGGCTCTGGATTGGACCTGACATTGGAGGTTTAAATTGGACACTTTAATAATCCAAAGTGACTGGGAAGGTGTAGACTCTGCCTACAATGGTCTTGAGGGACTCCAGCACTGAGCAGAGAAGGGAGAACTGGCAACCAGCGGAGGAGGGCAGTGCCTGGAAAAATCCCAATCATTTCGTATTTACACCGCGCCCAGCTTCTTCTACCTTTGCTACTGAGACAATGTGTGGAAATTTGAGTGGTGGGAAATCCCACGCCAGTCAGCAAGCATGAACACCCTGGTGTTTTCCCCATGTGGGGAGGGGTGAGGGGAACTTATGCTGGGCCCTTAAAGCAACCTCATTTTCAGTAAGGTTAGCATCTTGGGAATGTTCCCTTTCCACTCCCTTAGACCTGAGCCCCAACTAATATGTTTTTGCAATTTTCTGCAACTGCTCTTAAGTTCAAACTTGCATTGAGACCACAGTTATTTTTCTTTAAATGAAATTCTACACCTAGGAGGGTGGGGAACCAAGTCAATCATCCTCTTCTTTACTACCTAAATGCTGCACAGAGGATGTAATCAATTGCTTTAAGGAAAAAGGGAGGCATCTTGCTGCCTATTTAAGTAGTTCAAATGTATTTTAAGCTTAACATATTTCCTAGCACTAGATTTCAAGTGAAAATTAAAATTCTAAGAACTCACAGATTTCACATGTGCATGTGTTCTAAATATTTACTTTCCTTTAAAAAGCTGCATTGGGCCAGGCATGGTGGCTCACACCTGTAATCCCAATATTTTGGGAGGCTGAGTCAGGAGGATCACTTGAGGCCAAGAGCTCCAAGACCAGCCTGGGCAACATAGAGAGACCCCATCTTTAAAAAAAAAAAAATCAGGGTGTGGTGGCATGGCCTTGTAGTCTCAGCCACTTGGGAGGCTGAGGCAGGAGGGTCACTTGAGTCCAGGTTAAGGTGGTAGTGAGCCAGGACTACACTACTGCATGCACTCCAGCCTGGAAGAGCAAGATCTTGTCTCAAAAAAAAAAAAAATACATTGCCCTCTGCAGCGAGTGTTCATCTGAGGGCCTATATCACGGTAGGCAGAGCGCTGGAGGGCAGTGGAGGATGCATTCCAGACCAATTTCTGATGAGCTGTGTACCTTTGACAGACCAGTTCACCTATTTGGACCTTACTTTTCTCATCTGTAAAATTAGAGTAATGAATTAGATCAGGTGTTGGCAAACATTTTCTGTAAAAGCTAGATAGTAAATATTTTAGAGACTTTACGGCGCTGTAAGCAGCCACAGACAACATTTAAATGAATGGGTTATCTGTTCATTTATGGATGTGGAAAACTTTCATGTGTCATGAAATATTATTTGACCTTTTTTTCAACTTTTAAAGAGTATAAAAACCATTCTTAGCTCATAGACTGCATAGAAACAAGCAGCAGGATTTGGCCTATGGGCCACTGACTGCTAACCCCCAAACTGGATGAGCTCTGTTTCCTTCTCATACTAATATCTGACAGGTGAGCCCTCAAGCCTGAGAATGCAAAATTAGAAGGAGGTATGTTCTAGTGCCAGAGAACAGAAAAGGCAGTAGGAAGGACTGAAAATCAGGATCCGGCACTATAAAAGGTACCCCAAGGAAGGGAGGGCTATACATTAGGCCACACTTCACTGTTTGTATCATATTCCTAGGACTAAGTAAAAAAACACATTCTTTTTCTCACCAAAATCCAAGGTAGATAAGAAAAGTGATAGGCAATGAATTCTTAACATTCAGTGGATGAACTGACCCTGTATGAAGCTGGCCTGAAATTCAATGGGCACCAATTTATTTGTGGTTTCATTGAAAATTTGACTTCCCAGCAGTGAAAATGTTAATCAAATATATAAATAATTTAATTGGAGGGAAAATAATGCATGATTAAATTCCAAACTAATCCAACACATAGACATGCAATTTGCCAGAGGC